CAAAATGTTCGTTGAGGGTGTAGACATATGTAGAGGACTTGGATGTGGACGGCGTGCTCGGGGTGCTTGAGGGTTGCAAGCATCTCTTTCGGCTTTCTCCGAGGAAATATGGTTTGTTGGGTAGACTGTTGTTCCAGTCTTTACACATCTTCTCTAGACCAGTCGCTCCTACGAGAGGTAACCCCAGGTTGCCGGATTTAAGTATAGGTGCTTGAAAACAATTTTCGAGGTGTTCTTGGAGAGTTATTTATCACACTGGTCATCGAGCACCTGTAGCAATATCGCCGTGGAATAGTTGCTTGGGCGGGCGTTCCTCATCTTTCCTTGCGCCGTGACTACTCAAAGGCACGCGAATTTGCCTCAGTAAGTTATGAAAACTGAGGATCGTTGTCCGTTTAACTCCTTCCATATCCGGTCGCCCGTTCTTCCACCTCAGTTTTAGTATTCTGCAAAGACGGCCGAGAATGAAGTGATTGAGAGTCCTGGTTTCAGTAACGAAGGTGGTTCAGCTATTTGCTCCGTATAGAAGTGCAGTCAAGATAACAGTTTTTAAGGTATTTGTTTTTGTGTTGAGATGAAGGCCATAGCGATTCTACTCAAAGGCTTGAGGTCGCTGAAGTCATAATTAACTTTCTAGATCCGGTGTGTCACCTCGCCGTCGATTTTGATGCTGCTTGAGGGTATTGTGTCTAGATAGGCAAAATTATCCACGGTTTTGACTTTGGTACAATTAACAGCATTGTTATGAGCGTTGTGTTCTGCGTCGGGTGACGACTGATATCTCTAATAGCATAACACGCGCTAGCATAATACGCAAACACGCGCTTCACGCGTGCTTGGTTGTCATTTGCTGGGATAATTACGTAATCGATAATTGGTTGGCTGATCGATTTTCGTCAGCGCGCGTGCGCTGTGGGCGCCCACGTCATAATATTGTTACTGGGGGCCCAGCGATGGAGCAGGAGACTCTAAAAATTGCTTCGCGGTATTGGGCAAACCCGTTTATCCGTGTTGATAGTCAGCCGGAAGCTAGCGCAGCCGGCAGCGAAGGGGTCCATGCTTCGTTACATATTTTCTTCTATCGCGGTGTTGAGCATACAGTGGTGCGCACAGAGCAGGTTGTAGACAGTACTTGAGTACTTCATGTAACGGCTATCAAGGATATTGCCATCGGTGCTCTTGATGAGACGAATCTCAGGACGCTCACAGCGGTAGGCGTCCATCAGCACGACAGAGAACATGAGACTAAAGATGGTGGGAGCGAGTAAGCAGTCCGATTACACTCAATTGGTCGCTACACCTGCTTCTGGGTGTGCACCATTGTCCGTGACGCGCGCGATCATGCCGTTGTGTGTTGTGACATATCGTGTGTGTCGGGTTTCAGCCAAGCCTTCGGCCGGCTTCAAGCCTCCGTCTGGAATCGTCGTGGTCTTCAATTAACAACGAAATTGAAGATGTACAAGGCTTTTTTGCTCTCAACACTCTTGTACGAGGCGGAGACCTGAACTGTCTACGCCGGCCAAGCGCGCGAGCTGAACCACTTTCATCTTAGCTGTTTACGTCGCATATTGAAGGTCAAGTGGCAGGAGAGGATTCCGGACACGGAAGTCATGGAGAGAACGGGAGTTCTTAGCATCCAGGCCATGCTCAGGCAGATACAACT